AGAGAGTATGTTAAGTTAGCACCTCAATATTGAAATTCCATAGTTCTAGACAGTAGAAGATAATACTGAGTAACTGTAACTCATTGATACTGCATATGTATATCTTTACAGAAATCTAATATTGGTCAATTTAATACTGGCCAATTGATTACTGAAAGACAGTAATTAATTATTTATTTGAAGTACTAAAAGTACTAAATTTCAGTGTTTTTAATACTTCAAAATAAGTAATTAACACTGTCTTTTTGTATTGATCTGTGTTAGATTTCTGTAAGGGTATGTTGCAGTGAGCCTTTCTTATACCATATTGTAGGCTTCGCGATTTCAATCGTAGAAAATGATGAATACAGTCTTGTAGAATCTCTGTCTTTTATTAATTTTCAGTATACATATATACAAGGTGATTCATACAAAGTGACCGATGTAATTGTTAGTGAAATTTGAAGATATATAAACAAAGGGGGCATCATAGTGAATACAATTAATTTATGGATGGAAGCGTTGGGAACATTTTAAGGTCAATTTCATTTTTTTAAATGGAATAATAAGAATTTTTTACATAATATAATTCCTCTATAATTATTCTGCGTACAATGTATAGAAGAATTCATATATTTTTCTATTTAAAAAATGAAGTTGATTTGAAATCTTCTTAACGCCTCAATTCGTAAAATTCCACTATATTATATGATATCCTCCTTTGTACTGAACACATTGAAACAAACTATTTTTTCATATATCTTCAAATTTCACTATTAATTAAATCGATCACTTTATATAAATCACCTCTGTATGTATATATGTGTGTATATATGTATATATATATATATACAAAAATTAAAATTAAAATTCTAAGATTAGAGAATTTATTAATCCAACTTTGAAATGCAATAAATTGAAATGCAAACAATGCGAATAAACAATATATATACTGAATATAACTATAAACATATTATATTCAATATATATATATAAAATATGTTTATAATTATATTCAGTATATATATATATATATACATATAAAATATAACTTAGAATTTTGAACAGAAATATCTGGAAAATCTGAGAATTTTCAGGAAATTTTTTTATAAAATTTCAGTAAACAATCTGATTTTTTAAACAGCTTATCATCTTTGTTACCTGAGCGATAAAAATTAACATGATACTATTTTGTAATTATTATTAAAATATATAATTTATATAGACAGGAAAAATAAACTGAGATATTTCCGATTTTTTCTGCTTTTGTTAAAGAGTATTATACGATATAAGTATATTGTAGACAAGTCATGTGGAGTATGTAAACTAACATATGTGATGCCATTATTCGCTATTTCTGTCAGATGGCTGTATGTGAGTTATATCTGATCGAGGTCGCAATTTACGTATGCACAGGGTGCATAGAATTAGAACGGAGGGCGTACACCCCTGATATTAAAATCCATTTTTTTTCAAACAATTTGGCAAATCTTCAAAGTATAACTGGATTGTTTATTTTTCCGGAACACTCAACAGTAATAGTACTTTTCATGCAGCTTTAAAAATTCCCCTTTATCCTAAATATTTCATGAAATTTTTATTTAATATTTGTTTGCATCTTAATTAATAGATAAATGTCATGTGAGCAAATTGAATTATGTATGTCCACAAATTTTTATTTTTATATAGTTACTGTTATTGTACACACTATCCAAATAATACATGTTATAATATTATATTACACATTCTGAAGGGTTACTAACATCTCTCTCTCTCTCTCTCTCTCTCTCTCTCTCTCTCTCTCTCTCTCTGAAATAAATTATATTTATTATACGTACGCAACACAACTCACGTGTGCACAACATTTACTATTAACGCTGTTGTTAAAATAAATTTAAGTATATTTAAAAAGCTTAATACAAAACGAAATTATTAAACGGATAATGTAACAATACTAACAACCAAGTAATTTAGAAGGAATAAACGAATTTTTTAGTTACTGAGGATGATATTGACAATGAATATTCGCATGTGCATGCTAGAATCAACAATGTTTTCAGGGGTTGTCAGGTTTGAGTAACTTGGATCTTGGTAAAACTTCGATCCAGGTGTACGGGATTAATTGCGGGCGCACCTACGGCGTGACTCATTCTGGAGGAGTTCTTGGTTTCTTTTTTCGTCTTTTGTACAAGGGATGTGTGGAATATTACGTATATAATTCACCTTCCTGTTTATCGACTTATATTTTAAATCTGCAAGAACTTCAAAGATCTTTTTAGATCGATCTTTTAATCAATTCGAAAAACGAATAAATGCCATCTTGTAATTAATTAATTTAAATTAATAATTAATATAAAACTAAATAATTAATGTAAAACATCGTAAAAAGTTCCCTAAATTAAACGAGTTATTAAATCTTCGAACATTGGAAGTTGATCTTCGATCATTAATTTCTAATTTGATCCTTGAACGTTTTTATACTTTGGAATGTTTAAATGTAAAATGTTAAACGGTACGTTCGAATCTTTTATTCGAATTTCATTAGAAGAAAACTACAATATTTCATAAAGAGAATCCTGTAGTAATCATGAAAAATTTCTCAGTGAAATGAATTAGTTTTCATATGTATAGCTTATAACATAGTGTAATAAACAAAAGATATCAAAGATATAAGGCTTAATAATAGATAGTTTTTGATATATGTATTAAAGATGTGAAACACTTTGTATTCACAGAGCATATCACTATTCAAAAACTATTATTGAGCTTTGTGTCTGATAGTTTTTGTTCTCATCATGTTATAAAAACATATTACGTGTATTATATAGAAAATTAACTCAGGGACTAATTTTCTATATAATTAGTGCGGGGTCTTTTATTGTTTATTTGACAATAACTTTGTATACTTTTTGACTTTTTTACTTGTATTCACATATTTTCTTCGACTTATTCTCACAAAATTTTCCATTATTTCGAAAGTAGCTTAATAGTCGTGTAAATTATCTCCATAACATGGATAGACCCAGGGCTTAAAAATTCTTATATAAAATGAAATAAAATGAATGCTAAGGTTTGGTATGCGCCATGTGGACGGGCAAATACCACACCTCTTACTAGATCGGCATTCCATTGAATCCGGCTACCTCTCCACAGTAGATATTACGCCAAAGATGATTTCTTATTCCTCTCTTTTCATTTTTGTCCATTCCAACGTGGTAACAGGCAATCACGCGCAGATATTTCTTAATATATCAAGTATATTAAATAATTGGTATTATCGGAATAAAATTAAATCTTTAATCAGTTTCATACATAACGATACATAAAAATTAAAATCTTTATATAAATAAAATTAAATTAAAAATTAAAAATGGCTGATCTTGTATTTAACCGTATCTGATAATGACTATTTCACTGTGTCAGTCTGTAGTGGAATGTAATTATTTGTTTCTCTAGGTCGTGAATAATCTTTGATAGAAATATGATCATCTTTTTATAAATTCAATTTCACATTGATCAAGTTACACTGAAAGAAATGTATTAAATTTTAATAAATTATTTACTTGAATAGTACCGATTAAATTTGTATTTACTAAATGTAAAGATATTTTTTATTTGATACGAAAACCATTAATTTAACTATCATTTTCTTATTGAGTAAATATTTATTTACTGTAAGTAAATTTTAGTTGATACTATTCAAATATATATTTATTAAAATTTGGTGTTTCTTTCTCAGTGTGATTGCCTTCACATTTATTATAAATAACGGTTAATTATTTAACGAAAATGAGAACGTTTAATTTTATTCATTTAATATTACGTTTACTTTATCTAATATTACCTTTTGCCTATTTTCTTACATTATTTACATTATTATTGTAAAATGTGATGATTCATGCAAATTTAAAGGTAATGATTAAGGATAACGAAATTGGAGTACTTTATTTCAGATCTGTCATCAATCGGACATTTAGGCGAGAATGCGCACCCCTGCTGAGACCGAGACCCTGTCCCAACCCGAAATGTATAACCTGGAAACTGAGGAAACGGAAACGTCCGCGGACGTCAGCAGAGTGGTCTTATCGTCTCCCCATCCAGAAACTCATATATTTACTAACAGGTAATTTTAGGTCATCATTACTGTCATTCATCCTCGATAAGATTATATTGTGTTGTGCTGCAACACAATGATTTGGTAACAATTTAGAAATAACATGAGAAATTAAACAAAAAACAAGGATGGAAAAATGAAAGAAAGGTAGGTAGTGAGTGACTGAATGAGTGAAAATGAGAGAGAAAGGGAGAGAGGGGGGGGGGGGGGGTAAAAGTTAAAGGGGGCTCTTTTGGTCATTTTCATAGCAATTTGTTTATGGACGTAATCGAGAATATGTCACAAAAGAAGAGAAAGTTTTTCAAATAACGTTCTATTTCTTTTTTACATTTATATTTCTAGAAATTTGCATTAAATTTATTATCAGATATTATATCAAATACTCTTATATAACTGCGATGTTTAATAGTAATGATTATAAACAGTTAAAATTTAGGTTTTTACCTATCGGTGGTACCTATCGGTTGTTTAATCATTGCATTCTTATGTTAGAAGTAAAACTTTTATCTCCATCGCTTCTTTGTTTCTCTCTTCCCCATACAGATTCAAAATAGCATGCTATGCGAAAAAGATTACAATTATTTATTACTTAAAACTTAATTAACTCTCTCTCTCTCTCTCTATTATCAGTTTTATTTCATCAATAATTATTATACTATTTAATATCTGATACGAAGATATTTCAACGTTGACAATTAGCATCTCATATCAACGTCTCATATCTGTCAAACATTAGTCAGCATTAGCTACATTTCCGTGTTCTTGCATCATACATGACTAAAAAAAATAAATTACAAGTAAACGAAATGTTACAACTGTTATCGGTATACAAAGGATGAGAATGTTAATAGGTATCTTGTACCATGCATTTGTAAATTCGAAATAGCGCGCGTCGCATTGTGTCGTGAGCGAGCGCTGTTGATAGTATGTGGCGAACAGATAAGGTGAGAGAGAGAAGAAGGGGGAGAGAGAGAGAGAGAGAGAGAAATAGAGAGAGAAAAATAAAGAGGCGACAAAGGTGGCTTTCTTGGTCCTCTCCTCCTGCTCTTCTCCATAGTCTCTGGGATCTCTCCGCTGTTCCACACGTTCGCCAGTAAGTGGGATACATTTCATACGTGCGTGCGTGCGTGCGTGTCGCTCGTGGATCCGAAACTATCGGTGGATCGTGACGTGACGACGACACTCGTTTCTCATCGGCCACATTGCCGTTCGCGGTGAAGTAGTACTCCCGTTGCACGTCCATATGCTGTACGCGACGGGATGGTCCTCGCGCGGTTCTTCCTCAAGAAACCAGCGACGCAGAACGACGACGCTGCCGTCGGCGACACCTCCGCCGTCGCCGTCGCGGTAGTACCTGGCGATGTAGCCAGCGCTGCTACGAAGAGGTGAGACCGAGACGAATCCCACGGAGAAGAGTTGCTCCGGATCTTTGTAACGCGATAACGTATTCCGTGAAAAGTTGTCCGAATCTTCGGAATGCGCTTGCGATAGCGACTCCGAGTACTTATCAACAACACTGAGTACTTATACGTCTTCTCATGCGGTCGATGCGACCGACGCGGCGTTATTCATTATCGGCTGTTCGTAGAGACGAACTAGACATTCCGCACCGACTTGAGTCAACGTCGTCGTTGTAGATACTTCATCCACTGACGTCGCTCCTGCTGAGAGATACTGTTACAAATGATAAAATGTCTTTAAAGTGGCGTTAAGAAAGGTAATCAAACCTTTCTGTATCTGCTCCAAAATATATCGACCGGTATATCGATGGTCTCGCCGTTGTAAATCTTAAGTATGCTATTCTAAATTCGTCATGTTCTTCGCACAAATCTTACGAAAATAATAAGAATATTTCAGTAGAAGCGATGTGTTTACTTTCTCGTGCATCTTACAAAAGTCACAAGGGAACCTTGCAAAGTGTCAAGTTCTAATTTTAATGAAACCGAATACTTATAGTTTATATAAATAGATGGATTTAAAAAATAGCAGTAGCGACAAATAAATGATTTTAAGGGAATTTGAAATCACCCCTTATATGTAAAGCTCTTTTATTGTATCTCAAAAACAATTCGAGATATCAAAAAAATGTTCTATGTGAACATTTTTTGTCGTAATTATTATTCTTATTTCTATTTATTTACGTCAATAACTTTTTAAAAAAATAATTTTGAAAATATAAATTTTGAAAAGTTATTTTTTTATATTATTGACGTAGAAGAAATGGACATAATTTTGTTATAAAACTTTTGACGTTTATTTTAGACATTTTTAATATCTCGAATAGTTTTTGAGATATAACGAAAAAAGTTGAAAACTGCTTTACATAGAAGGTAATTTCACTTTTTACGTTTATTTCCTCTCTACTGCTGTTTTCTAAATTCATTTATTTATATAAGAGTTACAAGTATATAAAGTTTCATTAAAATTAGAATTTGACATTTCGCGAAATTCTCTGCTCAGTGACTCCACTTTCTCCCGATCGTCGAGACACGAAATTTTAGACTAGTATGCTGCGTTGTTACTACATGAATGGCAAAAGAATGGATATTGTATATCAAGAGGTATTCATCAGGCATGTGTAAAAGAAAGATTCACGTCTTTTGAATTTGCGTCACGGGTATATCGATGGTTATCTGAAATATTCCAATGCAGTAAAGTAAACAATAAATATTCGAATGTTTTTTTCTTTCATAAAAAATTGATGCATGCTTTGTTAACTTTTTATAACGTCTTAATTATTTTCAATAGAGTTGTAATTATATAAGTGCATTGCTTGTACAAACAACCAACGTTATATATATATGATTCAAGTGTGTTAAAAATACAAATTTCGCTTCTCGTATCGTCGAGCCATACGGTGAACTTGCAATTTTTGCGGAACAAAAAAATGACGCAGAAAAGTACTCCATCTTTTTAGAAACTGAGTTTTAAAACACATTTGACGGATTTCAAATATATTATATTTTATCAAAATATCGTGGATGTATAGATACATTGTTATAAACAATTAGAATTATATGCATCTCTCAAAATATTATAATGCGAATTTAAATACATTTTTCGGATGTATCGCATTGGCGGATCCAGAAATTTGTCAAGAGGAGGTTAAATCATTGACACCTCGCAAAATTTTTTTGAAGATTAAATATGGAAATAGAATATTAAATTATTATTTATTATTATATTGAAAAAGTATTATTTAAATGTATAATTCATAAAACATTTTATTTTAAATTATATTAACGTAAAAAAATAATATAATGAAATCTGTGTTTTTTATATCTAGGAGTTAAATTAAAGCTTAAATTAAACAATATTTTTGGAATATCAAAATTGTGATTAAATAGAAATATTAATAATATTTACAAAATTTTGCTATATTTTTAAAAAAAAGAAGACTTCAAGGAAGTAGTCAACAATCTATATGAAACGTATGCAATTAAGAATAATTAAAGGAATATAAAAGAAACAATTATACATGTGTATGTATAGACGGCGTTATCATACGACGTGCTCAATTGACGATCGCTTACTACATTAGATGTGGAATAACACGGGAAATAATATACTGAAATTAAGTCGTTAAATAAGTAGCAATAAAATACAAGGTAAAATTGAAAAAGAAAGACAAGAGTATATAATATGTTATATTATATGACGTAATATAACTAATGCTAGATAATGTAAAGAATTTATCAGTCCGCCGTTAGTCCGTGTATTTGTTTACGGCGATCAGCACGCCCCTCATTGAGTGACACCAGCAGACAGCTGATACGAAGGCCACGGTAAACGTGCATGCACGTACTATGCACATTTGTTCGATCGCTCGTTTTGCGGCGTGTTGGTTCTTGCGTGTACCTACAGACATTTACGCTCAGCTTCTTACGTAGGTATTCGCGAGAGGAGGACGATAAGAGAAGGCTATGCCGAAGACAATCGTTTTATCTCAAAGTCGCGGCGATCGCCGCAATCCTCTGTCAAGGGCAGTGTCGCTCGTGTTTTCAAGGCCACTCTCACTCCGACAGCGTTACTATTCAGTCATTTTAAATCACTTCATATCACTTTTTTTTTACTAAAAAGAAGAAAGTTACTAAAAAAAGTCACTATCGTTTAAGATGAATCACTGCAGTCACTTTTTTTCCTGAGTTGATCTGAAATTTGTAAACTATAAGTAATTTCTATTTATGTTTTGTTATCTCGTTTGATAACAATTACTCTCTTACTGTTGCTCACTACATCAGCATTAATTTAGTAGGGTCTGATGAACGTTCGTGTACATTTCTCATGTCACGCGCAGAGCACCACTGAGTGCGAATGAGATAACATTTTACAAGGAGACTCAACGCCCGTCAGAGTCGCATTCGATCTATCCGAATTAACAATCTCGATTGGCACACAATCTCATTCTCACGCAGTTGTACTCAAGCTCTCAATCCTATTAACATTCGAGCTTTACTTTGCATCTCGCGTACTGAATGCTAGACAAGCGGTTTTTTCCAGATAGAAACAAAATAACAAAACTTAACTTTTGCGAGAACTTTTATTGTCTGATATTAAAAACATTGTTTTTAGTTTAATTTTAAAATATTAAATCGATTTGTAATTGTCAAATAAAAAAATATTTATTTTAATATGCAATTTTAATTTTAAAATCATAGACTACAAAAACAAGACTACAAATTATTAGACTGTACAAACTTTCAGAAATCAATTTGTATTTGATTTACATTCTTTGCTGGATAATTATCTTTAATATGAACCGTTTTTTCAACTTAACTGTTCAATGGCTTTTTTCGTTTGAAGTTTATGCGCTATTAAAAAAAATTTATTATATGTTAAACTATTCAAAACAGGAAAATAATATAAGAATAACTGTTTTTATTTGCTCAACTGGTTTAAATTATTTTAAAAATTTGTTGAAAAATATCATTTTTTAGTACTATTTCAATATTTGAAAGGTTACTTTTTGTTAAAAAGCAGTCACTATTTCATTTCTTTTAATTTGCTGACTGGATGACGGCGCTGTATTTCCTGAGTTCACTTTCATACGAATTCACTTTCGGGCGTATTAAAAAGGAAATATATTAATATTAGCGACAATTTATCTTTCATAAAAATAACAATTTGAGCTCAAACTCTTTATCTTTGTTGCTAATTTATTGTTCAAAGATACATTAACTTCAATTTATTTTTTATTAAGGAATAGAAAATTATTTTAAAATCAAACTTGCATTAATGTTAAAAATATATCTCTTATTCGAAATATTTTAATATCTAAATATAATCTTTTTGCCGAAAAAAAAATTTTTTTTCAGAGTTAGGATATTATCTATAACATCATTACCGTTACAATTACTTTTTTTAAAGTAATAACTGAGTAACGACGACTTTATATCTTCATATTTGTAACGTTAATGGTAAGCAGTTCCTTTTTTTGGTAACGATATCGTATAACGATAATGAATATAATCGTTAGTTTGTATATGTACAATAAATATATATGGAATGTGCATTAACGAGTTTGAAAAAAAAATGTTATATTTGACTATTGCAATTAACCACAATTATTTTAATCACTATAAATCGTGCTGAATTAGTCAATTAATGATCAAGATTATTGCCACTCTAAAAAAAGAAGTCATCAAAATTTGATAAAAAAATAACAGAAATTATGCGATTCGTTATTTTTTGTAACGATAATGATAACAAATATTATTAAAATCACGAGTAACAATAATGAATTACTTTTCACAAAGAAAAGAAGTTACTTTTATAAAATAAAATTTTCCCAATCCTGATTTTTTTGCTCCCAATTATATATCTTCTTTCAATTTTTCTTTTTAGTTTCGGTACATGTTTGTGCTGAGAGCTTACGATTAGAAGATCAAAATTTTTTATCGCCAGACTTTTAGCAGTAATTAACATATCTAATGAATACAACTGACATTCTACGATATATAGCGATAATATGTATAACAAGCGACACTGTCATCGTTTGAGCACGCGACGTGATAACGTTGGTTGGCGTGAAAATACAGCCAGTCTATATATCGAAACTGTTTTGATATTTTTTACAATGCGATTGATGGTTAGTTCTACTTCCATTACAGAATCGGGGACTCTATCACTTACATATACATATCTAAATTTGAGTAAAATTGTCGCGTACTTTGGATGTTTTTCCGCGCGGGCGTATCGGTTATCAATAAAATCAACAGCTGATAATCAGTTCAAACACAACATTCCGGCTTGTTTAGGTAATTCTCTTTGCGCGCGCATGAAATTCCTGCTTTTTATTTTAAATATCGTTTCACGCATTGTATGTTAAAAGAAATTATTGTAAAACCTCGGTGACATTTTGAAAAGTTAGCTTTATATTGTACGT